CCTACCCAGGCTACGTGTCCCCACACACAGGCTACCCAGCTGGCAGCCTCCTTCGCTCCCAGGTGCCTCCATTTGACCCTCATGAGGTTGCCGAGGTGGGCTTCAGCTCCAACGATGATGAGGACAAGGACGATGATGTGATAGAGGTCACTGGGAAATAGCCGGGGAGCCCCTCTCCGCCTCCCTCGGGACCTCAGCAGGCTGCCCACCAGGCTGAAGGGCAGCGCTCTGGGCCTTCTGAGGATAGGGCACCTGGCAGGAGGGAGAGGAAGAGGGCAGAGAAAGGTGGTTGACCATAGTGGCAAGGTTCTGTTGCTGTTTAACAAAAGAGGCAAAAACCCCCAGAGAGCAGCAATAGCGGGAAACCAGGGACCCGGAGCAGGAACGGAGGGGCAGGCAGCCTGCCCCTCCTCCTGCCTGTCTTGCTTATGCTCTTTGCCCGCCCGCCCGCCCGGTGCAGAGGCTCACATCCCGTTGCTGTCTTTGGGAACACTCTCCTGAGAGAGCTGCCTTACTGGGCGACTTAGCTTGGCCTGGAGAGGGGAGGGGAGGGGAGGGAGGCGGGTGGGCAGGGGGAGCAGGGAGAGCAGGCTGAGATTCCATGTGAAGTGGAGTTTTTTAGGGGGTGGCAAAGGAGACCAGGTATGTGTGTGTGTGTGTGCGCGTGTGTGTCTACCTATGTATGTACACGTGTGTAACAGCAGGGGTGATGGTGGGGGGGAAGGAGGGAGGGAGGGACCAAGGGGGAAACTAAAAAATGAATTTATCTTTTTAAAAATAGAAATCAGAGTGTGGTGGCTCATGGCAACTGTTAGTGTGAACACCAGGATGAGCGCAGGAGAAGAGCCATGGAAACCACAGGTTTCCTTCTAGGGGTGAAGAGAAGCCCAGCTGACCCCAGTCCCTGGTGTGCAGAGCCAACCTTTGTTTTAGACTTTGTGGGGAGATAGAGAAGAGGGGGCACCGCCAACCTGTCTCCTTCCCCGGCGGCTGTCTCTGAGCAGGTCTCCCTCCCCGGGGGGTGCGGTTGCGCGTGCGCAGGGGCTGGGAGGAGGGGCGCTGCACCAGGTGAGGCTGTGGAGCCGTGGCCAGAAGAGACTTTCTTCACGAGGACAGACTGAGCCCCAGCTGCCCGTCCTGGTGGCCTTGCCTTCCCCGCTAGACAGCTCCATGTTAATTTATTTCGTATGGGCAATTATTTATTATTTGGACTTTCCATGTGTCTTGTTTTAGGGGTGGGGTGGGAGGGGAGGTTAGGGGTAAGGAGGGTAAGAGATGAGAAGGGGAGTTGTAAGATATCCCAGACCCCATAGCTGCTAGTGAGTAAATCCCAGGAGGCAGATGGTGAGCTGACCAAGGTTCACGCTAGACGATGCTGTTTACAGGAAGGCCAGGGGGTCTGTGACTGCACAGCTCGTGGGGTGAGACTCACTCCGCAGACACTGAAACGGGACCATGGGGTTTGTTATTGGAAAGTAAGTGGTCCCACATCTGGGGCTGGGCCCTCCCAGGAGGACCTCAGAGGCAGGCTTCTCTCTGCTGCCCAGTGAAGCTGCAATAGGTGGCCGCTGGGTTGCAGGACAGACTGTTGGTCTCCTATTGGGAAAAGTTTTGGCTTCTTGTGTGTCTTGGCACCTGTTAGATGATTGTGTGGCCTGGTGCCTGTCACCTCCATCCTCTTTGATGGGACAGGCAGGAGCTTTGAGTCTTGCTTTTGTCTAAACCCATCAGTCATTCTGGGTCTCCCCTTTCTTGTTGCCAGTGCTGGGGTAGGGGGCATCCAGGCTTTAGGTGTAAACACTGGCCACCTTCCTGTTGGCTTTTACTCCTGCTACTGAGACTTTGCTAGGCAGGTCTTTGTGATGGACAAACTGTGTCAGGCTTTGGAGCTTTGCCACCTGCCTCGGGCCCGTCCTTCCCGGGCAGCTGCTGCATCTGCCTCTCCCCACGCTGAGGGTGGTGAGCCAGGCCCCTTACCCCCAACCACCAGTTCCGGCTGCTGCTACAGTGCTTCTGACCAGCCATTGTCATTGTGGGAGGGCCTTAGCACATTTGGGGTGCTGTTCACAGAGAAGAGCCAAGGAGATGGCTGGTGTGGTGCGTCCATGTGTGCGTGTACATTTGTGCGCTGTCTGTTTACACCAAAAGTGGAACTTTAGCTTGCTTTCTCCATTTTCAGAAGTACCCTGTCACACTTAATGCTCCTACTCATAGAAGCCTTAGATCTACAACTTAGCTATGCAAATTATTTTAATAATTTAAGAATAGCAGTTCCAACCTGTGCTTTCTCTCTCCGATGCACCCCCAGAATGGATGGTGGCGGGACCAGTCGGAGTGGGCTCTCGGGTAGAGGCTGGTGTAGTAGGACTGAACTGGCCTGGGTCTCTGGTCTGCAGGCACATTTGCAGCCTAGGCATCCAGAAATGGGGTGGTGGTGGTGGTGGTGGTGTGTGTGTGTGTGTCTGTGTGTGTGTCTGTGTGTGTCTGTCTGTGTCTGTGTGTCTGTGTCTGTGTGTGTGTCTGTGTCTGTGTGTGTGTGGTCAGGGAAGGAGGGGCATACGTGTTCACCTCTAAGAGATTACAGCAGCAGACTCTGAGAATCCAGAAACTATCCCAGCAGAGGGTTGCAGCCACTCACTGGGGAGATGGGCACTTGAAGGCAGCTGTATGCAAATGGGGTTCAGAGAGGCAGCACATGCCTCGTTTCCACCCAGAGCTTTCAGGAGCCGGGAGGAGGCTGACCTGGCTAGCAAAGGCTTACTTTGAAGTGTGCAGCTTAGGTTGTGCAGGGGGTGGGGAGGGATCGTGGGAAATGGGAGTGCTACCAGTTCCATGTTTTTTGGGTTGTTTTTTTTTTCATGAACCTGAAAACTTCTCTGACTTTTCTGCTGTCTCTCTGTGTGCCGGTAGACAAGTGTGTGCGCACACCAAACATGAGCTTGTACGTGAGGGAAGCAGGACATGTCTCAACCTAAGAACTATGCTTACAGCTTCTTTGATCAGAAACACTTGATGGTGGCTTCCCCCTGCTGCCCAGGCCTGAGGCGGGGGAGGGTGGTGGTGGGGGTACGGAGCAGGCCTAGGCATTCCCCCCCACCATTGTCTTCCGTGGGATGTTTTCAAACCCCTCCTGTCTGGGTTGCCTGAATTTTCAGCCTAGGGGACATGGTACTCCTTAGTGACTCAGGATTGCCCTTGATAGGGATGCCTGACCTTTTCTTAAGATCTTTGTGGATGAAAAGGTGAACAGAGACAGGTAGCCATTTTAAGTGAGAAAGTAAGGGAACCACATTGGGTAGGATTTCTTTCCTCAGATTGGATCATCTGCAAGTCCTCACCCCTTGAGTTGTGCTTCTTACGCTTCTATTTTATCATCTCCTGACAAGGAGAACTCTGGTCCTTGGAACTCTCTCCCCTGCGAGTCAGTATGTGGAATCGCTATATACTTGTGATTTACAACTAAGATGAAATTTCCCACTCCAGGGCATGAAGCAAGTGGCTGGGATAGTTTTGCTGATAGGTCGCAACATTAGCCGAACTTCAGCATCCAGGTGGGAGTGTCGCTCCAAAACTGTCAGCAGAGCAAGGCCCTCCATCTCAGTCTGTTCAAGCATGGCATTGCTTTGGAACTGAGTCCCCATCCCATGGGGAAGGGCTTCTGTGGGCTTTACCTTCCCTGTTCTAGTGTTCCTGGCCATGACCCCCTTCTTCCTGCTTCCCAGTTCCCCACAATTCCTCAGAAGACCAGTCTTTCCCTTCTGAGCCATGGCCTCCTGTGCACCCAGTTAAGTGGCTCTTCCCCCACCAAAACTCCTGAGAGACGAGCTCCTTCCCCCGTGGGCCCTCAGGAGGCTTCCTGCCCTCCGCTGACTGTGCACAGGTAACCCACATCTCCAGGTCTGAGAATGCTGCGCACTCCCTTCTCCTCCATCCCACTCCTACTGTCTTTTCTGTCCTCTGCATTCTGCTGTGACCCCTCAGTGTCCCTTCCATGCCATTAGCTTGGTCCCAGGCCTTGTATGACTATCCGAGTCTTAACGGTGAACTCCTGAGCAGGCAGCGTGCAGGGGCCTGAGCCCACGCCTCTCTGCGCCCACAGGCCTCTGTGAAACGGTGCTCCAGTGCGCTGGGGAGAGGCAGCCACTCAGGCTGCACTCTAGTGCAGATGGTGGGGCAGGTTTGGGTGCTGTCACCATTACTGGGGTGATACTCAGAAGAGGAGGACCTCATACTGTGACCTGACCCAGGACCCTCCTCTGGACGAGCGCTCAGCCCAGGTGTGCGTGTGTGCGTGCGTGCGTGTGTGCACATGCGTACTCATGTGCACATGGGTGTAAACTGACAGTTATCTGGTTGTGTTACTCAGGGTGGGCTGGGGACTCACCAGTAGAATCCCTTCAGCCTGCCCAAGACTTTTTTTTCCTGTACCCACTCCAGAGAGGTCAGGGGAGGGAGGTCCAGGTGGGTTGAGGGGGTTGCAGTGGGTAACCACTAAGGCCACACTGCTGCCAGGAGAAGTCCGGTGGGATGAAGTGGCCCAGGGACCTGGCACTTGGCCTTGGTTTTCCGTCTTCTTTCCTCAGGACGCCCCCTGAGGCCTGGGGCCTGCACCTGGCTTTGAGGCATCTGTGGCTGGGTGTCTAGCTGCTGGTGTGATCACGGGCTTCCCTCCTCTCTCAGCAGGGCAGGTGCTCCTGCCCCAGAGACTGGGCAACTGGCTGTTTCTATGACGTATTTATTTTTACTTGTGTTTTGTGTCACTTTTTTAAAAAAGCAAACAGAACAATTGTAAGTCAGTATAACTGCCTATCAGTTTTCTTTCTCTTTTTGTAAAATAAAATTCAAACTCCAGAAGGCAGTGTTGTTTGTTCAAGGAACAGCTGTTCGGCCTGGTGGTGGTGAAAGGGACATAACGAAGCACAGTGGGCGCTAGGATGGCACTTGGGGGGAGGTGGGAGCAGGACTTACCGAGGGCTGGCCCTTTGCAGCCGTGAGGTCCACTAGGCCGGTGGGCTCCTGAAGAGGACCACGCTTCCAGGCTCTAGAGCTCGCAACAGCCAAGCTCCGAGTAGCGTGAGGCCAGCTGGTCCTCGGCCCTGGCAGGTCTGTGAGTGGCTGGGGACGGGGTGCGGCATCGGCTCCCGCAGCCCGGGGGGCGGGGGCGGGGGCGGGGCTCGCAGCGCCCTTACACTGCGCGTGCGTTCTCTGCCCGCCAGGCACTTAGAGGATCTCCCCGCTGCCTCACCGAGAGCCACCCGGGGCAAGGACTGCGAGCGGGCAGGGGGTCGTCCAGGCTTGGGCTCCCGAGTTTGGTCCCTTTGAGGGGAGGGGCCCTGGAGGAGAACCGGACGTCTGCTGACGGAGAATTAAAGAGCCTTTGGGGGGGTTCCTCGGACAGAGGAAGGCAGGAGACAGGCCAAGTCGAGGCCCGGGAGAGGAGGGCCCGTGCTGTTGGGGGAGGCGTGGGAGCGCCGCGCGGGGCGGCAGGTCTGCTCGGACGGGCCACCAGGAGAGGAAAGTGCCTGGGCTGCCACCCCCCGGCGGCCGGCGGAGGCTTCCAGGGATCCTGCCCGGCGGGGCTTGGCGGGGCTTGCTCGTGAGGGGCTGCCCCCCCAGGGTTTGGGGAGGCCGACGGCTTTGCCCCGGCGCGGGCAGCCCTCCTTGCAGGACGACGCGCTGAAGCTCCCAAGGCGCGCGCTCTCCTCCGACGTGCGGCTCTGGGGTTCCGCGCCCAGGCTGAAGGAAGTGCGTGGAGAGGACGGGACGGGAAGGCAGCTCGGCCCCCTGGGCGAAGCTAGTCCGCTTCCGAGCGCCAGAGCGGCCGGCCGGCGCCGCAGGCAGAGGCGGGGCCCGTGCTCCGGCCCTCCCCGAACCCCCAGGAAATCCAAGTGTGTAGCCCACTTGCTGGGCACCGGAGGGTTTGATTATGTGCCTGATGTTTAGAAGCAGAACGGAGCTGCCACGACCTGCTGTGGGCGAGGGCAGGCCTCCCAGCTAGGGCACTCGGGGTGGTGGGCCCACGGCACGACGATTCTCCTCCCAAACATCAGTCCTCGGTGTCCCTCGGCGTCAGGAGACCCCGGGGAGCCCTCGGGCCAGCCTGTCACGTGAACAGGCTTCTGAGCTCCGCCGCCTCCTCCGCCACTGCAAAACGGCCTCTCAGGGTGCCAACGGTTCATCTTTGGGGCCCCAGAGGAGCGCTTTGTAGTGTGTGGGTCCTCAGAAATACGGGCTGTCCTCACGGAGCTCAGCCCTGACCTGGGACACCTAGAAGCAGCCGAGCTAGGGGCGGACCCGCGGGGGCCCTAGCCACATCCGGGGCTTCGGGGAGGGGCGGGCCGGCCGGGTGCCCTCCGCTGGTGCGGGGCTGCTGCAGGGCACGCTACCGGGCGCAACGGCCACGCTGTGCTCGGGCGCGGGGCAGCGGGCGGGTCGGTATCTGCAGTTCCACGTGTGGGATCCACTCGCTCTCTTCCTGAGCCCAGATTGGGCTTCAGTTTCCTCAGCTGTGAAAAGGAGCCTGGGCTCCACCGCGCCTGCTTCCCGGGCCTGCGGCGAAGCCTCGGCTAGAGACGGGCAGGACTAAGCGGCGCAGAGCCGGCGGCCGGCCGGCAGCCGCAGCGCTCTCGCCACCTGAGGCAAGGGGTGCTGGTGAAGTCACCCTCGGGCATCGCCCGCGGGTAGGCGCGCGCTGCTGCTATGGGGACGGGGCGGGGCAGGCCGCCACCCGGACCCGCGCGCACGCGCCCACGGCCACGCCACGTCCCGCCGCGAGGGGGCGGAGCGAGCGTGCGCGGACTGGCGTCCGCGGCGGGCGGTCGTGAGGTGAGGGCCGGGCCGGAGGCGCGGCTCCGGCGCGGGGGCCTGAGTGCGCCTAGGGCCGGGATTCTCCGCTCGCCCTGCCGCGCGCGACCTCAGGGTTCCCCGCGGTCCTCACCCCCGCGGCCCAGGGCGCTCTGTGGGCCTCGCTCTCCCACAGCTGCCGGGGTCCTCGGGCCCGAAGGCGACCTTGGACCAGCCCTGGCTCCGGGTAGCCCCCGGTCTGGGCCTCGGGCGCGGGGCGGGCGGAGGCGGGGTGCACTTCCGCCCCGCCCCCGAGGCCGCGCCCGGCCGCCGCGCTGCAAAGTTTAGAGCCTCTGAAGTTGGCGGTGGCGCGTGCGGCTCGGGAGGTCGCGGCTGAGGAGAAAGCGGCGGTGAGCGGGCGCGCCGCGTGAGCAGGGCCCCCGGCCTTCCGCGCCCGCGTCCGGGGGCCGGCCGCCGCGGTCCGCGAGCGGCTTCAGGAAGCGCGCGGGCAGCCCGCCCGGACGCCCGGCGGGCCTCCGACCCGGGGAGACAGGGCCGCTGCGTGGCTGGAGCCCCCCGGGAGGAAGGCTCTCCGTGAGACGGGGCGGGAGCAGGGCCCTCGTGAAGAGTTGGCGCCGTGAGGCCGCGCGCGGCCCCCGACCGCCCCCGGGGGTCTGAGGGCGCGGTGGAGGCATCCTTGCGGCCCCGAGGGAGTTCCTGGGGCGGTGGGGTTTCCCTGAAAAGGGGGCGCCAGGGCGCGGCGCCCGGCTCAGTGTCCTCTTTCTGCCGCCAGCGCGGGAGCTCCCGGAGCCCTTGGTCGCGCCGCGTGCTGTGAGTCGCCAACAGTGGGCGCGGCTTTGCCGGTGGGCGCCCCCGGCCCTGCCTTTACTCGTGAAGAGTTGGCGCCGTGAGGCCGCGCGCGGCCCCCGACCGCCCCCGGGGGTCTGAGGGCGCGGTGGAGGCATCCTTGCGGCCCCGAGGGAGTTCCTGGGGCGGTGGGGTTTCCCTGAAAAGGGGGCGGCCAGGGCGCGGCGCCCGGCTCAGTGTCCTCTTTCTGCCGCCAGCGCGGGAGCTCCCGGAGCCCTTGGTCGCGCCGCGTGCTGTGAGTCGCCAACAGTGGGCGCGGCTTTGCCGGTGGGCGCCCCCGGCCCTGCGTTTGCTCCTGGGCGCGGGAAGTGCCCGCTGCCCCGCCCCCTCCTTGGGCTGAGCAGAGCTCCGGGGCCCCGGAGGCATTTTACCTCTTTTCCTGGGAAGTGAGAGGAAGGGAACGACGGGGACTACGTCCCTCTGCGGGGGCCGGCGGCGTGCAGCCGACGGGGGGTGCTGGCCGCCTCTAAGGCAGGTGGGCACCTGGGTGGTGAGAGCTTCCCGCTGGGAGCCTTGGGTCCGGAGACGGCCAGCATGGCTCGGGTGCTTCGGCTTCTCTGGAGTCCCTGTCACCAGGGAGGGGAAAGGAAGTGGAAATGGGGGCCCAGAGTCCGACTGGGGTCGCCCACACGCCGCCAGCTAGTGCTGTGCGACCCCAGCAGGCCGCTCAGTCTCCGTCCCCGTGGCTCCCGCTCCATACCTGCCCTGTTCTGAGCGTCCATGGAGCAGCTGCGTCTCAGCGCCCAGTGCCTGGCACGCCAGCACATGTAAGCTCGCAGGTGGAGGTTTTCCATCGTCAGCGAAACAGGAATGCAGCTAACGGGAGGCAAGCCAATAGGAGAGGGGACACGTCCAGAAAAGATGGTGCAGCCGCGGGACGTGGGTGGGTGGCAGCAGTGTGACAAGAAGTTGACAAGTTTAGTTTGCTTCCTTGTGACGCAAACAGTATGTATCCATTGACTCCAGAGACAGTTTTTCAGCAAAAAGTTTTGACACCAGAACCCACCCTCAACGCACAGTTGAGTTTTTCATAGGGCGGAAGTGTTGACTTTTTGGCGACCAAACCTTTTACATTTAAATTATTAAAAAACTTTAAATACTTTGTGTGGGGAATGTACCTCCAGTGGGTCATATGCTTCCTTTCCTCTTTAAAACAGTCTTTTCCGTGCTGTGACTTTTTTTTTTCTGGGCGTCTCCGGTCAAGCTCTCTGGTCCCAAGCTTCATGGAAGGCTGGGCGATCTGCCCCAAATGGCTCACACACTGGCCTCTGTGTTGTCTTCATGAGCCTTCTCTTGGATAGCTTCTCTGCTTTTTTTTTTTCCCTGAAATGAGCCTTTATTGCTTATACTGTACAAATAGGAGGAATAGGGAAAGGCCAGTGGGGAGGAGAGAAAATTGGCAGATAAAAGACATACACAAAAAGGAAAAAAGACCCCCCCCCATGCCCATGCTTTCTGTGAATTGCCTGGTACAGGAGGTAGGGTGGGGAGATCAAAGCCGTAAAAACTAAATTCTGTACTCCTGGAGGTGCTGTAGGGGACAGGAGGGACGAGGGGGCAGGGTAGCAGGTAGACCCCATGTGTGCCAACCCACCCAGGCCAGCATCCCTCCCCCACGGGATGAAATGCTCGGGGTAGGGTGACTTAACTTCTTCCTGTGCTGTGTTTCTGCTTGTCACAGCCTGGGCCTTGTCCTTGCTTTTTCTAATCTGAGGACTGGAAAAGTGAGATGAAGCTTCTTAGCACTGGTGGCTCAAGACCGGGAAGCCTGGTGCTGGACTTCGTTCTGGCTGTGCAGGCTGTTTTGATTTGATCTCTCTGGTTCTGGATATGTGAGCTTGATCGATAGCAAGATCCCATGGGCTGGATGTGCTTAGCAAAGGAGACTTTCCTATGAGAGTCTTTTCCTGTGGCACATTTTCTCCCTGGGTTTTGTTCCTCATAGTTTCCCTGTTAAAGAGTGTTTGGACCCTGGTGCTTGCCTGTCTTCCCCCTGGTAGTGGTTTGTGAGGCTTGGGGAGGCTGATAAGGGCTGAAGGTATGTCCCTGGCTGACTCATTCCTGTGCCCTCCCTCTATGACTCAGTTTCCCCAGGTGTGACTGAGGCTGCCAGCTGACAGGCAGAGCTGCTCTGAGAGTCTCAAAGATTGTTATTAAGAAATAAAGAGGCTTGTGGCTTCAGTCATCCTTTGTAGTTCCCTTCTAGGTCATTCTGTGTGTAAACACCTTTGGCTCCTCCTCCTCCAGGGTCAGGGCACCCAAGGCAGGGCTGAGGTTGGGCCAGAAGTGGCTGGCAGGCAGGTGGGCACGTTGGTCAGGGCAGACTCCTAGCCTCCTCTCCATTCTGTCCCTTGCAGCTGCCTTGGGGTGCGGTGTGGGGGTGGGCACAGCCATGTCGGACCTGCTGCTACTGGGCCTTATCGGGGGCCTGACTCTGCTGCTGCTGATGACGTTGCTGGCCTTTGTCGGGTACTCCGGGCTGCTGACTGGGGTGGCGGTGAGTGCCGGTTCACCTCCTGTCCGCAACATCACTGTGGCCTACAAGTTCCACATGGGGCCTTACAGAGAGACTGGGCGGCTTTTCACCGAGAGCTGCAGCGTCTCCCCCAAGCTCCGCTCCATCGCCATCTACTATGACAACCCTCACATGGTAAGGAGTCTCTTGTGCCCTGGCAGGGGTGGCCACGGATGTACATGGGGCATGGCTTGTTGGGGGAAGGACATTTTAGTATCTGAGGAAGGGTTGGGGAAATCTTTGAGCTGGCTTTGCAGACCGCCTCCTGTCTGAGCTTCAAACTCTTTCCAGATTTAGCCTGGATTTTTCCAGGCCTTCATATGCTGCCCTTCTGCTTGCCCAGGTCTGGCTCCCCAGGCTTACGGCTTACCCGTGTACTTCTGTGTGTCCCTAGCCGTTGCTGGAGCTCTGGTCTCCTGGCTGTGTCTTCCGTGCCCATTTGAGGCCAGTTCTCTGAGGTCAGGCTTTTCAGGTTCTGCCCTGTCTTTGGGATTATACCTTGTTTCTGTGCCTTCCCTCTTTCAGCTCTCCTGCTATGGCTGCAGGTCCTCCAGAGCTGAGGAGGCAGGCCCTGGGCATGAAGCTTGGGATCCTACCTCTCCAGCCATTCTGGTGGTCCTTGGTCCAGCAATATAGCATTTCTTTGGATGTCAGGTGGCCAGGTTGGGAGAGGTCCTGGGGAGAGGGTGGGCAAATGAGGCCAGGTGAGTTGCCCAGGATGCTTAGGATGCTTGGATCAGAGACTAACCCAGCATTGCTGGCACCCTATGGGTGTCTGGCTGTACTTCCAGCCTGTGGTGAGTCAGGGCCTGCCAGTGTGACTGCCTGCCCTGCCATGGGTGGTTCTGCCCACAGCCGCATGGGTTGGCAGCTCTGCCAAGGGTTCCTCAGCCTCTAGCTCTGAGCCTTGGCAACCAGGCATTGGGAACCTCCAGTTCTGGCTTCTTTGCCTAGAGAGCTCAGCTGGGTGAGGTCTCCAGTCTGTGGACCAGGCCTCACTGGGCACTCACTCAGGGGTGTGCCGACTTCCTCTCTGTGCCAGGTTCTGCTCAACACCTGCACTCTGGAGATGAACAGACCTGGCCCTGCTCTCAGGGCGCTTTGTGGGGTTGGCAGAATAGCCCCACAGAAATGAATCTCCAACAAGGCACTGAACTCTATGCCCACAGAGCTTTGAGCTCAAGTCTGCCAAGGCGGCTCAGAGAGGAGTTAGAGTTCAGCTGGGCCTTCTCTCAGGAGTAGAATTTTGGTCTACCAGGAAGAGCTTTCTGCTAAGGGAACTGTAGCAGCAAAGACCTGCAGACATAGGGTGGCAGGGGAGGTGTGGCCAGTGGGCATGTGGTGGGTGAGGAAGAGGTAGAAGGGTTGGCTGGGCCAGGCAGTGGGAGGAAAGGTGCAGCATACGTTGTGATTTAGGAAGCTAAGTGGATGGCAGGTGGAAGAGGGAGTGAGATGAGGCAGGGAGGCCAGTGAGGAGGTTGGGCTGGGCCCAGTGAGAGGCCATACGGCCTGGTTGACTGATGAGGAAGTAGTTACTGAGGTTTTGAGGTCACATGGCTGGGAGATGGCACTTCAGTGTGAGCTGAGGGCATAGGGGCCTAAGTGGGATGGGGCAGGCTCTGGGTTTTGGGAAGCTCTGGTTCCCACCCCTGCAGGGGTCTTTTGTGTAAGCCCCTGCCCCTCCTGTACTCTACCCTGGTCTGCCCCTGCTTCTGTACCTGGCTCAGCTGGAGCCTGTTGCCAGGCCTCAGTGGGAGGGACGAGAGTCCTGTGGCTGTCTTTTTCTGGTCGGCATGTCTTGTTTGTGAAGGAGCACGTTGCCTCTTGGGTCAGAGATGCCATTCCAGGGTGGGAAAGAGCCAAGTGGGCGCCAGTGCTGGAGGCCGATGTGGGGAATAGCGAGATAGAGCTCTGGTGTGCAGTGCCCTCCCTGTACCTCTGGCCCACCCACTGTCTCCAGGCAGCCCTCCGACAGGTGTGGACCCTGTAGAATGGGCCTTGGGGACCATGGCCTGAGAGTACGCCCTCAAGGTTGGCAGTCCTGCGTTCTGATTCCGTCTTGTCACTGTCCTGCTTTGTGATCTTGGGCGTATTCCATAACTTCTCCGAGCCTCTGTTTCCTCATCTATAGAGTAGTGTTAAAATACCCGCTTCATAGAAAAGCTGGCAAGGGTTTAGTTAAGTGACAGGATGAGGCATTCACCCGAACACCTGGCCCTCCACAGATGTTTAACAACAACACAAAGAGTGGAAAAAAATATTCATGTTAATTAGATGTGCTGAGGGGTTGCTCTGAGGACTTGAGACTCAGAC